CCAGACCAAAATCCAAGGACCATGGTTGTTATCCTTGTTTTGGTTGTGCAAGGAGGCAAAGTGTATCTACCTATGCCTCCATATTGGCCAGAAGTCCAGGTAGTATTGCAATCTTAATACTAAGTCTTCTGATCCATGAACAATGGATGTTGCTCCATTCATTTGTTGTCTTTTATTTCTTTCAGCAATGTTTTGCAATTTTGTAAGTTCTTTACCTTCTTGTTTTAACTTTTGTTTTTTAAATATTTTATTCTTTCGGATGTAACTATTAATTGGGTAGCTTAAAGTTTCTTTTCAGATTGTTCATGGCTACTGTAGGAAACACAAATGATTTTTATGCATTGGTCTTGTACCCTGAAATTTTGCTGAATTCCTGTACTAACTTTCTGTGGATTCCTTAGGATTTTCTACGTATGGGATAATGTCATCTGTAAATAGAGATAGTTTCACTTCTTTCCAGTTTGGACACCAAATATTTCTTTTTCTTGTCTAGTTAGTTACTCATTTTAGAACTTCCAATACAACATTGAATAGCAGTGATAAAAGTAGGCATCTTTGCTTTGTTCTTGATTTTAGTGAGAAAGACTTCAGTCTTTCACCACTGAGTAGGGCATTAGCTATGGGTTTTTCAAAAATGCCCCTTACCACGTGGAAGCAGTTGAGAAGTATTCCCCTCATTCTTTTTGAAAGAGTTTGCAAAGGATTGGTGTTAATTCTATTAGAAGTTTGGGTTTTTCTTTATTGGAAGGATTTTAATTAATTACTAATAAGTCTTTACCTGTCATAGGTCTGTTGAGATTTTCTATTTCTTCTTTTATTAAAAAATGTTTATTTTTAGAGAGAGGGGAAGGGAGAAAGAGGAGAGGAAGAGAAACATTGATATGAGACAGAAACCTTCATCGGTTGCCTCTTACACAGGCCCTGACCAGGCACCAAACCCACAACCCAGGCATGTGCCCTGACCAGGAATTGAACTGATAACTTGCAGGATCACACCCAACCAAGTGAGCCACACCATCAGGGCAGATTTTCTACTTCTTCTTGAGTCACTTTTGGTAGTTTGTGATCCAGAAATTTGTTTATCTCATCTAGGTTACCTAATTTGTTGGTGTATAACTGTTCATAGAAATGCCCCCACCTTCATTTCTGATTTTTTTTTTTTTTACTTTGAGTCCTTTTCTTTTTCTTGATCAGTTTAAGTAAAGGTTTGTCAGTTTTGCTGATCTTTTCAATGGAACAACTTTTGATTTCAAAAATTCTGTTTGTTTTTTTTTTAGTCTCTATTTTATCTTCTCTCTAATCTTTATCATTTCTTCCTTCTGCATGCCATTTGTTTTCTTTCTTTTCTTTCTTCTCTCTCTCTCTCTCTTGTTTTGGTCCTTAAAGTCAGGTTAATGATTTGAGAGCTTTCCTTTTTTTTTTTTTTTTACTTTTTAGAGAGAGGGGGAGGAAGGGAAAGAAATGTCAATGTGTGAGAGATACATGGATCGGTTGTCTCTTGCTCACCCTCAACTGGGGACCTGGCCCTCAACCCACACATGTCCTGACTGGGAATTGAACTAACAACCCCTCAGTTCACAGGCCAGCACTCAGTCCACCGAGCCATACCAGCCAGAGCCCTCTTCTTTAATGTAGGTATTTTTAACTATGAATTTCCCTCTGAGCACTGCTCTCACTGCATCTCAAATGCATTCATATGTTTTGTTTTCATTTTCATTCGTCTTAAAATATTTTATAATTTCACTTGTAATTTCTTCTTTGACTCACTGGTTGTTAGAAGTATGCTTTTTAAATTCCACATATTTGTGAATTTTTCAGTGTTCCTTATCTTATTGATTTGTAACCTCATTTCATTGTAACCACAAAAGATACTTTTTATTTGTCTTCTTAAATTTATTGAGATTTGTTTTGGGGCTAACATATAGTCTATCCTGGAGAATATTCCACGTGCTCTTGAGAAAAATGTATATTCTGCTGTTACTGGGTGAACTGTTCTATATAGTTTTGTTAGACCAAGTTGGTTTATGGTGTTGTTCAAGTCGTCCATTTCCTTATTGATCTTTTGTCTGATGTTCTATTCCATTATTGAAAGTGGATTATTGAAGTCTCCAACTATTGCAGTATTGTCTATTTCTCCCCTCAGTTCTGTTTATGTTTGTTTTATATATTTAATGGTTCTGTCATTTGGTGTGTATATGGTTATAACTTTTATTTTCTTTATGATTTAACCCTTTTATCAATATATATGTCCTTCATCTCTTGTATAGTCTATTGTTTATAAATCCTTACCCAAGGATATGTTTATTGATTTTAGAGAGGGAGGGAGACAGAGAGAGAAACATTGGTGTAAGAGAAAAACATCAATCAGTTGCCTCCCATTCATGCCCCAACCAGGTATCAAGCCTACAGCCTAGGTATGTGTCCTGACCAGGGATCAAACCTGCAGCCTTTTGGTGTATGGGATGATGCTCCAACCAAATGAGCCATCTGGCTAGGGTTTAACGGACGGGTTTTTTTTTTTTTTTCTTAGTGTGCCCACCCAGCTCTTTTTGGGTTCCTATTTGCATAGACTATCTATTTCCCCCTTTTCACATTTCAACCTATTTGTCTTTCGACCCAAAGTGAGTCTTTTGTAGACAGCGTAAATAGTATAATCATGTTTTTTCATTCATTCTGCCAATTTGTCTTTTAATTTTTTAATTTAATTCATTTACCTTTAAAGTGATTACTGCTAAAGAATTACCTTCTTACATTTTGCTATGTTTTCTATAAATTTTATAACTTTTTGTACCCAAAATCTTCCACACTGCCTTCTGTTGTGTGTGATTTTTTTTCTAGTATACCATTTTGATTCTCCCTTTGAATCCTTTTCTGTATATAGTCTTAGTTATCTTCTCACTGGTTACTGGTAATTATAATTAACATCTTATATTTATATAATGTAGTTTGAATTAATACCAATTTAGCTTCCATAATGTATTATTAAGGGTTCTTTAGAGAAACAGAATCAATATGTGTATGTGTGTTATCTATACATATATGCACATATATCTAGATTTAATTTTAAGGAATCAAAAATTTATTTTCAGGAATTGGCTCACATGATTATGAAGGCTGGCAAGTCCAACACCTGCAGAGTAGGTTAATTAAGATTAACTGCTTCCCTGGTTGGTTTCAGGGGTGTCCAACCTACAGCAAACAGGCCACATGCATCCCAGGATGGCTATAAATGTGACCCAATACAAAATCATAAATTTCCTTAAAACACTATGAGATTTTTTGTGATTATGTGTCACAATGTATTTGATGTGTGGCCCAAGACAACTCTTCTTCCAGTGTGGTCCAGAGATACCAAAAGGTCAGACACCCCTGGTTTAAGTATTTGATTAGAATCCATAATTCCACAAGTTGATTCTGTTATATGGAACCACAAAAGACTCCAAATAGCTACAGCAATCTTGAGAAAAATCAACAAAGTTGGAGGAATCACACTACCTGATATCAAACTATACTATAAGGTCACAGAAATCAAAACTGCATGGGCATGACACTGGCATAAAACAGACATATAGATCAATGGAACAGAATAGAAAGCCCAGAAATAAATTCATGCCGTTATGGTCAATTAATATTTGACAAAGAATGCAAAAACATACAATGGAATAAAGACAGTCTATCCAATTGTGTTGGTTGGGAAAACTGAACAGATATGTCCCAAAAAATGAAACTAGACCACCTTCTTACACCATATACAAGAATAAACTCAAAATGGATTGAAGACTTAAATGTTAGACTTGAAACTAAAACATCCTAGTAAACATAGATAGTAGAATCTTGGATATTTCTAGTGGCAGTATTTTTTCTGATATATCATCTTGGCCAAGGAAAACAAAAATAATAACATTAATAATAAACAAATGGGATTACAAAGTTTTTGCACAACAAAGGAAACCATCAACAAAAAAAAAAGACAATCCACTAAATGGGAGAACATATTCACCAATGATACATTGATAAGGTATTAATATCCAAGCTTACAGTGAACTTATAAAACCCAACACAAAGAAAACAATCCAATTTAAAAATGAGCAAAGGAAATGAATAGCCACTTTTCCAGAGAGGACATACAGATGGCCAATAGACATATGAAAAGATGCTGAACATCACTAATCATCAGAGAGATGAAAATTAAAACCACAATGAGATATCATCTCACACCTGTCAGAATGGCCATCATCAATAAATCAACAAACAACAAGTGCTGGCAAGGATATGGAGAAAATGGAACCCTCACGCACTGTTGGTGGGAATGAAGATTGGTACAGCCACTGTGGAAAGCAGTATGGAGATACCTCAAAAAATTAAAACTGGAAATGCCTTATGACTCAGTGATTCTACTTCTGGAAATATATCTGAAGAAACCCAAAACATTAAATCAAAAGAATATATGTACCCCCTTGTGCATTGTAGCATTTACAGTAGCCAAAATTTGGAAGCAGCCCAAGAGCCCATCAGTACGTGACTGGATAAAAAAACTGTAGTACACTTACACAATGGAATACTGCTTGACCATAAAAAGAAGGAAATCTTACCCTTTGTGACAGCATGGATACACCTGGTGAGTATTATGCTAAGTAAATAAGCCAGGCAGAAAAAGAACAGTACCATATAATTTCACTCATATGTGTAATCTAATCAACAAAATAAACTAGCAAACAAAGGTGGTTCTGTTATTGCTACCAGCTTATTGGTTGTTTCATTGGAAGGACTGATTCTTGGAGCATCCATCTCTCCTCTTTTTCGTGATGTCAGATATTTTTTTTAATTTTAGTTTTGAAATTATTATAGATTCACAGGAAGCTGCAAAATGGCACAGGAATGTCCTGTGTACCCTTCACTCACTTCCTCCTAATAATATCTTACATACCAGGAATTTAACACATACAACACAGTGAATTTTTAAAAAGATTTTATTTATTTTAGATAGAGATGAAGGGAGGGAGAAAGAGAGGGAGAGAAACAATGATGCATGAGAGATACATCAATCAGTTGCCTGGTGCACACCCCTAGACAGGGACCTGACCCAAAACCCAGGCATGTGCCCTGACCAGGAACCAAACCGGTGACCTTTTGGTCTGCAGGCTGGCGCTCAGTCCACTGAGCCACACCAGCCAGGGCCAACATAGTGAATTTTAAAAGAGCACTTCAAATGAGACTTAACCATATGGCATTTCACAACATCAGAGATAAAAAGATCCTAAAAGCATTCAGAGAGAAAAAAAAATCCACAGACAGAGAATCAAGAATCAGAGTGCAAAACAATGGAGCAATACCTGTAAAATTTAGAGTGAAAATATTTCTTTTTTATCTAGAATCATATGTTCAGCCAAGCTATGAATGAAGCATGAGAACAGAATAGACATTTTCAGATGCACCAACTCTTAGGAGCTACTACAAGATGTCCTTCCCCTTCTAGAATAGGACAGAGAGGAAGGGAGTGAAGGGAGTGAATCCAGGAGAAGAGGGTTCTGGGAAAGGAGGCGGGCCAAGGAAATGCCCAGGAATGAAGATAGCCCTGTGGCTGCTTGGTTGGAGGACAGTGATACCAGGCTTCCAAGAAGGAGAGCACCCAGAAACCAGAAAGGGAGGTGCTACCTCCAAGGTCTGGCCCGTGGAAAATAACACTATGGGCGCTGTGGAGAGTAGGTAAGCAATGTAGAAGGACTCAGCCAGAGACTTTTAAAAAATAAAATTCAATTGGTGAAAAAATAAGATTAGTAGTACATTTGAGGGAAAGAGTTATATTAAGAAAACACAATTATGGTACTTAGGTTTGGCTTGGTAATGCATTTTCAAAATTTTGGAAACTATGAATGTGCTTTTCGCCACAAATTACAATATAGCTATACTGGAGAAATGAGGGAGGGAGAGAAGCTGTAAGAGAAGTAAAATAATAATCTACCACAACAGGAAGTCAACAGGTAATATCTGAAATTACTGAATCAAGAAATAGTACAATATGCTTATTTATTTAGAAATCTAGAAATAAATGGCAGAAATTGCCAAAGAATTTCCAAGTCCCTTAGAAGGGTTGAGCCTTACTCTGCAGAAGGGGTAAGAGTTTTCTTTTGTCATAAATTTTTTAACTCTATTTTACCTTAAGCTATATTCATTAAATAGTCTGATAAAAATGTAATTTCATTTTGGATTGGAATTACTATTATCAAACAAAAAGTAAAACAATTAGTATCAAATAATTAGTTTACCTAATAAAACATAGTGAAACAGTTCTACCCACCCTTTATGGAGGAGGCCTTCTCTAAAATTTTTATAATTTGCAATATATTGAAAGAAGTTGTTCATTTTATTTTGGAAAATGGGAAAATTAAAACTCTTAATTTGGAAGTGCCTTGAATCTAATTGGATGGCAGAGTGCTTACAATCACGAGTGCTGCTGCCACCACCTCTTGACAGTGGCTCTCTCTCCGTGAGGACAGGTCTGAATGGTGAGAAGTGACACAGGCCTTCAGCACTTGGGGTCACTAGTCTAGGGTGGCTGGACAAACTCGCTGCAGGCTGAAGACAGAGTGCTTTGCTCTCCTGACCAATCTGTCCCTGATTGGAAAGCTCACAGTACTGTCAGCCAGACACGTCGCTGCTGAGGGTGGACGCCCCTACTGTGGGGTATGCAGATTTTCTGCAGTGATGAGAAGAGAAGGGTACGTGGCAACATCATCTCAAATGACACATGGTAGCCAGATATGTGTGAAGAGGCTGGTTGTGAAGACTATCATTTCAGAGGCATTGGAGGGAAATGGACAGCTCTCTGAAAAGAAAAAAAGCTATTTAGTGAGATCCCAAGAACTGGCAAGAAAGAGCTGGGAGCTGCTGCTAAGCAGAAAATAGACAAGGCACAAGAACAATCTGACTAACTGCTGGCATGGGGCAACTGGGCTGTGAGCAGAGCCCAGGACCCTGGTCAGCAATCAGGATGACAAAGTGGACCCTGAAGGGTCCTTGTCTTCCTCCTGTCAGAGTTCTTCCTCCTCTGGGTCTCACTCTGCAATGGACTAGAACTCCACCTGCGCTTCAGCCAGGCCTTCTGTCCTGGGAGGTCACCACAAGGAGCCTGGTGGGGGCTATGAGCGGGCAGACAGCAGGTTCCAGCAGATTTCACACCTCTCTCAGACTGGGCTGGTGAACCGCATCTAGGGCTCGCTTCTTTCTTCCTTTCTTTTTTTCTCTCTTTCTTTCCTCTTTGATTTTTGGGATGAGGCATCTGATTAAAGATTGAGGCAGGTTAGTACGAGCAAACTGCATGTAACAGAGTCCACAACCCAAAGTGACACCATCACACACACCATGCTGCCCATACACACCATGCTCGCCCAGCAGGCAGGCCCTCCACATGCAGCCACCTTAGTGGTGCATCCAGGGAAGAAAAGAGAATCAGTCACAGACCATGACTTTGGGTTCAAGGTAAAGGTGTCTGGCAAACCTAAACTTCAGTGACTTAAGAAAAATCAGCAAGAAATTCTCAAAGAAGCCTGAACCCCATGACTCTCGTTTGCTGACAGACACACCAAATGTGTATACAGATGCTGACAGCCAGCCAGCCAGACTGACCATGGGAAGTGGGGCCCAGATCAGCACAGTGAGAAAGTCAACAGGTGGGAGTTTCAAGGCAGGAGAGTAGGGATTTCCTGAACAGAGGGCAGCGGGAAACTCTGACTTTCCTATGAGGTAGGAAAATCACTGCTGACCAATTAAGTGTCAAATCAGTTCTGACAGGCAGACACTGCTGACCTAAGAAACCAAGGGATGTTTGTGTAGCTCAAGGAGGTGCTAAAAATGGCTTTGGCCACTAAAAGGAAATGGCGTATGGCAGGTGCATGGCCAGGTGCTGGCCTGAGGGAGCAAGGAGGTGAGCCAAGTTTCTCCTCGCAGCACTGCGCAAGGGCACCAAGTGGTCTTCATGAGAACGTGTGCAAATGCTTTAGTCCTACTCCAAATGAAAAGCCCTGCCATGATCTCAGCCTTTAACACGGTCTGGACCTAATAATGAACACCTCTTTATCATACACAAGTTGTAGGAAGTGTAACCAAGTACTTCATTAGAGACAAGATAACAAGCATTCAGGTTTCCCTTGAAAATAACTCCTGCCATGAAACAAGGAGATGAATTAGGAAGACGATGAACCCAGTGGTTTTCTCTACGGAAGGTACTATGGAGCACAGGGCCTGGAGACTCACACGCAGCTCCATCTCATACACACCCATCCAGCACCGCACACCATGCATGGGGTTAGCAAGTTGCTAAGTTCTCTACCAGGTTAAAGAATAGTGTAGTTACCACTGTTCATCAAAAGGTGCAGGTGCAGATCCCGTTAGCTCACAGCGCTTTCAGAGTTTTCAATTATCCACTCAATAGCAGCCCACCCCTGGAGCAACAAAGAAGGATTTCAACATGCTGTAAGAAATCTGCCTGTTACTGCAGATGGCAGCTATAAGCCTGTAATTTAAACGGCAGAAGGAAAGTACTGCAATTTTAAAGTTACAGCAGTAACCATTTGTGAGGCATCTTTCACTAGAAGCAGGCAGTTTCTCAAGTTCAGAAATGAGGTGGTAAGTACTCTGCCTAAAATTCTTGCATTAGGTTAGGCTATACTGACACTGGCACTCCTGATCCACACTGTCACCTCCTGAGTGCAGGACAAAGGGAAACAGCAGCCACCCTCATGGCCTCCTCCATGCATTGTCCCTAAGCTGAGGTTCCTGAACCCCTGGATGACCCGCCTCTCCATCTCCATCCCCTGTGTCCACCCTCGGACTACCAGCTGTCCCAGGCATCTCTCCAACTGACCAGGGATGCTGTCAAATCGTAACTATAGCTAGAGGGACAACTGAATCTCTGGCAGGTCTTCAACACAATAACCCCTAAAATAAGTGAATAAAAATTGTATTTGGCCACAGTGAGTTTATCCTAATTTTTCTCAAAGGTCTGAAGTTTGGCCTCAGCCAGTATTTACTCCCTCCTGGACACAAGGTCAATAAGGTTCTGTGTCTTCCCTGGAGGTCTTGCCGTGGAGACAATGAGTGGAGCGTCCGGCACTGTGGTTCCCCTGCCTTCCCTGAATGGAGCTAAATGACTGCATTTCTCAAATTATATTTCTTTTTTAAAAAGATTTTATTTATTTATTTATAGAGAGGGAAGGGAGGGAGAAAGAAAGAGAGATAGAGAGAGAGACATCAATGTGCGGTTGCTGGGGGCTGTAGCCTGCAACCCAGGCACGTGCCCTGACTGGGAATCGAACCTGTGATGCTTTGGTTCACAGCCCGCGCTCAATCCACTGAGCTACGCCAGCCAGGACCCTCAAATTGGATTTTTCTAAGCAATGGGGCAGATGGGCTCTTCTAGACTAAATGCAAGCCATAAATGGTTTTCCACTAAGTTGTTTGTGACTTAAGCAGGGCAGAAAATACAGCTTAGGCAGCATCTAACTGATCCTCAAAATGAAGAATCACTTCTGAAAAAACAAAAAAACAACAACAACAATAAAAAAACAGGAGAAAGGGGGAGATGAAAAGCCAGGGGTGGAAGCAAAGCAAGAACAGCCTGGGGAAGATGTGAGTCTATGAGGTAAGCTAAGGTAAAAAGCCAAGGCCCTGCTCTGGGGAATAGCAAGACTTGAACTTGCACATGTCCAAGCTCTCTCCAACAGCTCTGCTGGAGAGGGACAACCTGGGTTCTGTGAGTGGTCTCTGCCTCTTGAAGGCTGAGCCCTCCCCCTAGGGACCCTGGGGAGGATGGCCTCCTGGCTGCATCCTTTCTCATCTCACCTCCACCAAGCTCACTCCCTGATCCTGCAGGGACTGGCAGCTGATTCCAGGGAAACTTTGCAAGTGGAGAGGTTTGGCCAAAACCACATAATGCCTACTAAATATGAAAAATCCCGAATAACCTGCCTGATAATGCAAACACATTTTTTTTTGATGGGTGGGGTTTGTTGTGTTAAGTGAGCCCACGATATTTTGGCTCTTTGCCTCATTTGGGTTCACCCTGCACTTGTCCCTCGGATGGTCTCCTTTGCTTCTGGTTTTGAATGTAAATGTGGGACATGCTGTGACATTACAAGTTCAACTAGACAGAGGGCCCAGCACTTACGGACTTATGGGACTACACTTTCACCTGCTTATGCCGGCACTTACCAGCTACAGCACACACAGGGCCCAAATTGAGATCCATACCTTCTTTGCATTAGATGATATTGTGTTGGCCATTAAACTTTCCAGATAGCTGCCAAGGCTGATCCCCTTCACAGTGATGATGGCTTCTTGTGTGAGCACAGTCCTACAGAAGAGCAAGAAGTAAAAAGGCTGGCTGAGCAGCCCTAAGAGAGGGGAGACTCCACCCCACCCTGACCTTGGAGTTCTGCATATCAATGCCAGGGCAAGATCACGTACATTTCAGGGTTCTCTGGATGGGGTGTGTACACCAACCTCTCGTTCACCGACACCAAGTTTGTGAGTGTGATCTTGAAAAAAGGAACAATGACTTTAGGTTCTACTTCTCTTGCATTTCTTCCCAAACCATCTGCCCACACCCTTTCATCCCCAAATCAGCACTTACTGAAGCCAGAGCAGAAGAAACATTTAGGCCCAGAAGGCACCACCACATTAAGTCTCAGGGAAACGGTGTCCTGGCTGCTGCTCCCAGTGACTGTCAGTTGCCCTGTCTCTACCACCCACCCAAACCTGAGCTGGGCCTGGCCTTCAAGGGACAGGTATCCCCACTTTTTGAAAGTTTGCGTGTTCCACTTTGCTTTTAGGAAAGAAGTCCCTGCACAAGTCCCTGTTTTCACTAACTGATAGAAATCCGAAGGGGATCTTTGCTTTTATGAAAAAAGATGAAAAGCAAAAACCCCGTTCAGCATTGGTTTTGCAGCAAGTCCTTACAGAGGCAGTGCGCACCCCAAGCAGTGAACGAGGCCCCCAAAGCTCCTTCCCCAGGAACCCACTCAGCGTCTCAGCATCCAGCCCCAGAGCTGTGAACTGTGTCTGTAATTTATCTCCATTTATTTTGGGTATGGTTACCAAGATGTGTCCTAAAGTAAATCGCTTCTTCACTTTATATCACTTTGGCTTACCTAAGCTTTCATAGGAACACTCTACTTTTGGATAGCAGGGAGACCTGTATTTTCAAACTGCCAAACCCTCAGCAGAAAAAGACAAAATATTCATGGGTTAGCAAGCAGGTGAACAAGCAGGAAGTTCCCCACCCACCAGTGGCAGACTCTGGCTTTGGGACCCTGAGTCCTGGAGGTTCACAGGGCAGAGCCCTAAACCTATACAGACAGTGACAGTAAGGTTGTCTAGGTATTGTCTCCTCCAGTGCTGTTTCCTGCAAACCAAATAGCCACTTGTGTGCATTTTTAGTATTTTCTATTAAAAGCTATTTAAAAACTGGAGCTCTAGAATAGCACTGTCCCACAGAATTTTCTGTAATGTTAGAAATGTCCTATATCTGTGCTGTTCATTGCCGAAGCCACTAAACATGTGTGGTCAATGAACACTTGAAATGTGGCTAGTATGACTGAGGCAATGATTTTTTTAATTCTACTTAATCCTAATTAATTTAAATGGAAACAGCCACATGTGGCTGCCACATTGACCAATAGCATTTTATCCTTGCTAAACCCAACATGCTCTCTTAGCAAAGAGCCAATTCCAATATAAGACAATTTTAAAAAAAAATTTTAGTGGTCAAAAGCAATATAATCGTCTAGCACTAATAAACTTAAAGCACTTTTTTTTGCTCATGTAATGATCTTCCACTGAAGTCCCCTGCCTGGCCTCTCTGTTCCAGCAAAGTGTTTAGCTAGGAAATCTCTTTCCTCCTATTAAGTGCAAAGTAATCAAGAGTCTCATTAGTTAGTTATTACAGTGTATGGAAATATTTAACAACATTAACAATTAAACTTGGATTAGGTATTATAATTTTATGTGTAATATTTTTATGCTAGGCTCTGTATTTTATAAACCTTATTTCCCTTCATTAATCCTCACAACACCATTATGAGATTTGTTCTTGAGACCCAGAAAAGGTTAACAAGGACCATATGCAGTCATACAGCTATTCAGTGATAATTTCAGGACATAGGTTCCCATCTGTCCTACTCCATACCCTCTTTCCTTTCCACTAGACCTCACTGTAGCATAAGCAATCCTTCTTTACTAAAAACTCAGCTTTTGAGAAGGACAAAGTGGAATTTTCCAAGTAGAGGAGGGAAAACAATATGTACATTGTCAGGAATGGCACATGGGTTGCAGGTAAAAAGCTGAGTATCAGAAACCACCCTACTGGCATCTTGCCCTCAGACTTTCATTTTTTAACACCTGCAAGGCTCCCTGTGACTTTACACAGAAGGGCTGCTGGCAACAAAGGAAAGGGGCCATTGGCAAAGGTCACAGATGGTATACCAAAAAATGCAAGTGGTTCAGAACCTCATCTTCCAGCATACAGTGACATGATCCACACAGTAAGATTTTATAAAGTAAACCACGTTCCTAGCCCATTGCATTTTCTCCAACATGTTTTATGAGTGTGCATTAGGCCAATATAAAATTTTTTAATTAAGAGAAGTGAGAGGGAGTAAAGAAGGTAAGTTGCTTTTAAATTACTGCTAAATCCAAGGAAAAATAAAATTACTGCTAAATTTGTAAGTCAGGAGAGCAGTTATTCTGGGTGTGAGGGTGGAAATCCTGGAAGGGAGCAAGGGCGGGGGAAGGGAAGTGCAGCGGCTGGTCACATTCTGTCTCCTGATCTGTCTGCTGGTTACGTAGGAGTGTTCACTCTGTCACAAATCATCATTATGTGCATTTTCTATACATTTATTGTATTGGAATAAAGTAAGTATAATACTACTAGATAAGTTCAGCCTATTAAAAATAAATGATCACTGAGACAAAAGATGGGCTGGATATAAAATTGAATGAAGCCATTACGCACCATCACCAAGACATACCAAGCACCTTTCTCATCTTAGGTCATTGCTTACATTGGTGGAGCAAAGTTCCATTTTCTTTTCCACTGGATCCACAACAGAATGTTCTTTGATGTATGTCAAAGTCCTAGTGGTTCCCAAAATCTAAAAAACAAAGCAAAACTAGCATAATGATGTGTTAAAATTTCATTTTGTAGGGTCAAACACACACCATCATTTCATTTACTGATTCACTTATCCGCACAGCGGGGGTGCAGTGACCAACAGGCCCAGTGCAGCAGCTCCAGGTTCCTGTTCTGGCAGCTGGGACAGACACTGAGCAAATGAATGAATTTGAGTAAAGTTGAATGTTTGACAGTGATAAATGCTTTGACAAAAAACAGGGTGGGGTGGGTAGGAGTGCAGGAAAGGCCCCTCTGCTGGTAGCAGAGTGCAGGAGGGAGGGAAGGAGGGAGGGAGGAAGGGAGGGCAGGCACCATGCAGAATTCAGGGGTCGGCAGGAGGGTAAACCCTGTGAGGAGGTGGCAGGAGGGCAGCCTTCTATGAGCCAAGGAGAGGCTGCAACAGAACCATCCCTCATGGTTCTCAGAGGAAACCACCCTACTGGCATCTTGCTCTTAGACTTCCAGCCTCCACAACAGAGAGAAAACAAATGTCTGTGGTTTAAGCCCCTAATCTGTGGTATTTTGCTACAGTAGCCTGAACAGATCCAACACTGTGGAGTGATGCTAGAGAGGATTTGAGGGTGGGTGGCTAAGGGTGTGGGAGCCATGTCATGTGTCAGATGTGTCAGGACCCATGGAGATGGAGAGTTCAGTGAAGTTTACAGGGAAACACATCATCTCTTGGGCCTCCCAGAAACCCAGAGTGGATGCTCTGGGTCGAAGGGAAGGTTGTCATTTTCTGCAGATGGGTGCCAGCCAGGGCAAAGGGATACAGCTGGGGTGATGCAGGTGTAATGAAAGCAAAGTAGGTACCAGCTGGGTGGTACAGGTGTACTGGGGCAGGGCAGGTACCAGCAGGGGCAGGCAGCGCAGGCTCACCGCTCTCACAAGGCCGGGCAGCCCCCACTCAGTGATGAGGAGGCGGTGGCTGTGAAGCCGGCCACCACCGTCCACACTGCGCTCCAGCACATCGACTCCCACGACACAGGGGTTCATCGGATTTGGGTACTTCCTCATAGCAGCTTTGATGACTTTGTCCCAAGGGTGGCTGGAGGGAAAATACAATCACCCAGCATAAGCAAGCAATCCCTATGATTTGTAAAGTGTGCCAGCATGGTGCTGGGAGCCAGAGATGCTGTAAGCCACTGCAGGAAATGAAAAAAAGCTTTTTCTTTTGGTTTTAACTAAAGGTATATTCAAACAAATATATCTGAGGAGTCCAGGTCCAGACCCAAATCCTGGATTCTGTGATCCTTCTGAGCCAACCTCAGGCAGTCAGAATGCTGTGCCCCCAGGCCTTGGCAGGGACCTCGGGCACAAACAAGAACTCAGGTCCTGGCAGCAGCACTCAGCAGGTCTGCAGTCCTAGTCCAGGAGTCTCCACGCAGAGGCTTGGTCATCACCGGGGGCCCTTCCCTGTGGCTCAGCACTTTTCCTGTCCTAGCACTTCCTCCTCCCTCTTTGCCCTCCCTCCAGTCCATAAAGAAGAAAATGCTTTAGTTTGGGGCTACTGGGCAGTGGGACAATTATCCCCATCCCTTGCCTGTCACCTGCCTGCTATGCCATGGGGGTGTTGAAACACTAGGGAGTTGGCACCATTTTTGACTCTAGCCTGCACTGCTGGAGTGAATAAAGGCTTGGCTGTGACTGACTTAGGCTTCTTGTCCTAAGCAACCACCTTAACACCTGGCAGCTTGTCACCATGATCAGACCAACACACCTGCCTTATGCATATCTAGAACAGGCCACTGCTCCCAGTTACTGATGTGCTATGAAGAAGCAACTATTTTGTTTCAATTTCTAAATGGTATGTAACTTGAAGAGGCCACATATTTTTCTGGTTATAAAAATCAGCATCTGTGTGGAAGACTCAGAAGGCTGTGCTGACCCTGAGACTTCCCCTACAGAACACCATTCCTTTTCTGGCCCTGAGCCCTTGAGGTGAGGGGATGGATACCTTTGTCCCCGATTTGTTTCTTGCCATCAGAGGTCCCAAGCAAGGTACTCGCTGCCCCACTGCTTTCTCAAGCTCTGTGCTTTTTTAGGCTCAGAACCTCAGACACAAGTCTGGTGGGAGCCAAGTCAGGTGCCACTGTGCTGTATTCAGGGTGAACCTTGCCCCCACAGCACTTAATGTCCTAATTCTTCCTTCCGTCAGGATGTGTGTGCTCCCAGGAAGCATCTGAGCCTCCTGCACAGGTACCTGTATATCAATGACACCATCACTTTCCAGGTGCCCTCAAGCATGTTTGAACAGCATGTGTAGACACAGCCTAGACCCAAGAACTAGACCTATGTGCACACATGCACACACACTTTAAAAAATTAAACTGGCATCATGTTCATTACATGGACTTATCATTTGCTTTTTATATTTAAATGACAAACATTTTTCTATATCATAAAGCTATTTTCATAGATGTGATTATAAATAGCTGCACAATATGTCATCTTGTGGATATTTACATTTAACTGTTCCCCAATGGTAGGTTACTTAGATTGCTTCCCATTTTGTACTGTAAAATAAAGACCATAGTTAACATTTGTCTACACTAGTCTTTCAACATACCTAATTTTTCCTTAGGATAAATTCCTAGAAATGGAGTTACTAAATCAAATACTAAAGGTTGTGAACATATTGAAGGGTTTAGTCCATATTTGATGTCTTTTTCAAGACAGTAGAATTTACTGGCCATTAATTTATTTTATCCTCATAAAACTCTTGTCCCAGGTTAAAAAGTTAGCAGCAGGGCCCAGACTAGAACAAGGTCTAGTCTGTTCTACCCAGCCCCCTACCCTCCATCCTTTCCATTACATTGCATGGCCTCTAAATTGTCAAGGCCTGGTCTAGAAGTCTCTCTTTGACAAAGAAATACTTTTACAAACCATGGAATCATGTCACTAAGTTAATGTGCTCACTAGCTTTAGCACAAAGAGATGAAGGAGCTGAGACCTGGCTGGTATGAAAGACTCTACAGGATACAGAGAGTGAGCCCTTTCTTCTCTGAGGAAGAACTGTCAGGTACATGGCCAATCTAAGACCTTGGGGAAGAAGGAGAATCTAGAGACACATGAAAGCAGGAAGGGTCCCAGTTACACAGGCAGGCAGGCCTTCTCAGCAACATGATCTGTGAGCCCTGAAAGTCAAGTTCCTGAGAGCTGTTCTCATAAAAACCATTACTTTAAGGAGAATAGGCTATGCCTTCTAAAATTACTCAAAACTACCTAAAAGTTGAGGAAATATTTGTATTAAGCATATCTTCCACATTAATGTTTCTCTTATGTAGAAGCCTTGAATCTTTGAGCTAATTATTTAAACTAAATACAACCACTTAAAATACTTACATAATAAGTCCACTAGTTACAGCAGGATGACCACACAAATTAATATAGACATTGACAGAACAATGGAGGAAAAGGGTAAACATAACATTTTTAAAATAAAAAGTACAGAAATCAGAATCACACAATTCTTTGTTAAAAACAATAGCTGAGCCCTGGCTGGTGTGGTTCAGTGGAGTGCCATCCTGGGAACCAAAAGGTCACTGGTTTGATTCCCAGCCAGGGCACATGCTTGGGTTGTGGGGCCAGGTCCCTGGTAGGGGGCACGAGAGAGGCAACCAATCGATGTTTCTCTCTCACATAGATGTTTCTTTCTCTCTCTTTCTGCAAATAAATAAATAAAATTTAAAAAAATTAAAGGAAAATAGCTGACACTCATTCAAAAACTCATTTGACTGGCAAAACCCGAAAAATCTGGACACATCAAGTGTTGGAGAGGATGGGGGAGACTGGGAAGACAAGACCACTGGTAAGAGAGGTTGGCACAGCCCCTGAGAGTGCAGTTTACCTAGAGACAGCAAGAAAGCATGGCCCACCTCTCCGTCAGCTGTTTGTGTTAGACACACAAGGAACTGCTAAGTTTAGAAGGAATAGACCATGGCAGAGTGGGAATTTGTCCCCAGGGCAGGAAGTCTCTGTGCCCCTCTGCAAGACAGTTACAAGGAGGAAAGTGCTGGTGCCAGGACAGTGGGAGGATTCTCTCCCTTCCCACATTGGGAAATGCGAAGGATAACCGAGGCCTCTCTCTATGCACAGTGAGGGTGTCAGAAACACGAAGTGGGATAAAATTACACGATGTCTGGGATTTGCCTAAAATAAACAGAGGAAGGAACAGTGGGTGGGATCACATGAAACCAGACTGGCTGCAAGAGAGAGAATGTCAATCTGGAAGATGGCACTGGGCACTCATTATTCCAGTCTCCACTTTTCTTTTAAATGCCCACCCAAGAACATGTTATTGATTTTTAGGGAGTGAGGAAGGGAAGGAGAGAGAGAGAAACATCAGTGTGAGGGAAACATCAATCAGTTGCCTTCCATACACCCCCAACCAGGGATACAACCCATAATCTAGGTATGTTCCCCGATGGGGAATAAAACCCTCAATCTTTTAGTGCACAGGACTTAGCCACCCAGCCAGGGCATTTTAGTCCCCACTTTTTCATACTTTTGAAATTTCCATAATATCAAGTTTCAAAAAATAAAAAGCATGAAGGCAGCCACAAATAAGGCAAAGTGCTCCTGCACCCTATCCAAAGCGACTCGAGGCCCAGATCAGCAGTTCTGAGTGTGGTCCACACACCCAGAGGCTCACACACCCTTTCAGGAAGTCTGCAAGGTCAGAACTGTTTCACAGTGCTACTAAGACATGATTTGTGTTTCTCACCCTACTGACATTTACACTTCAAAAGCGGTGTCAAGTAAACTGCTGGCCTCTCCCCAGAATTAAGGCCAGGGCCTCAAACTACACTCATGGTCACTGCTCACTGCTGTGCACTCAGGAAAACCACGCCAGTGTTTCTTAAGACTATCCATGATGATACTATGACTGCTGTGGCTCAATTGATTGGGTGTCATTCCCCAAAGTGAAGGGTCGCAGGTTCAATTCCCGGTTGGGGCACATGTCTGGGTTGCAGGTTTGGTCCCTGGTTGGTGAACGTTCAAGAGGCAGCTGATGGATATTCCTCTCTCACATCAATGTTTCTCTCCCTCCCTTCCCCTGTCTCTAAAAATAAATAAATAAAATCTTTAAAAATACAAAGACTATCCATGATGAAATAGTAAAATTATTCATTTGATTCCCTGACTCCTTTTCAATAATTTTAACCACATGATAGCTGAGACCCAGCCTAGGATTAGATGCCCACTATGTTTGACCCTAAAACTAAACAACTTACATAACAAAATTATTCACCACAGTACTACTAGCTACAGCCTAAAATTCAAATGACTTGATGGTGCTTTATATCCCTCTAGAAGAGTCTGTTCTGTAACCAATAAACCTCACCAACCCTTGCCAATTCGGCCTATATACCACCATCTTCAGCAAAGCCTAAAAATGAATTACAGTAGGCCCAAATATAAGACATAAAAGGTCACAGGAAGAATGCATGAGCATTTCTGCTTTACATGGAGGTCTATGGAGGTCTACGGAGGCCAGAGAAGTGCTGGGCAGCTGTTTGCGTGGTGGGCCCAGCTGGTTGCTTCTTTCCATGCCTACCGCTTCTACTTGAAACAATTCAGGGACAAACTTTGGTTACTTAGTCTGTGGTGTCTGGCAGACATTTTCTCAAAAATCAATGAAATGAGCCCATCAATTCAAGGAAAACAACTGCTAGTATTTGTTGCCAAAAATAAATTTTGAGTTTCAAGTGAAAATTGGAATTTTTGAAAACTTGTATCCACTCCCATGACCTGATAACCTCCCCATGCTGTAACCAAGTAAACTCACATATTCCAAATGACCAGTGTGAGATGCCACAAAATCATACACCAGTTAAAGGCTCATTCAAAGCATAGGACAGGCCAATTACTCCAGTCATTATGGTTTCAGATTTTACACTGAAACTACATTGAGAAATTACCACCTATTTTGTTATAGTAGCAAAAAGTAGCCACAAATACTTTTAAAAACTATTAAAATATTTCTACCTTCTCCAACAGGGTTTTATCCACACACTGTGTGAGGCCGAGTTTTATTCATATACTTCAACCGAAACAATGGATTGTAAATCACTGAGTGCAGAAGCAGATATGAGTATCAAGCTGACTTCTATTAAGTCAGACACTACAGAAATGAGCAAACAACTCCCCAAAAACAACAAAAGAAAAGTACACACACACAAGGAAATAATACCCTTATTTGGGGAGTTTGGAAGATATAGGGTTTTTTAAAAAATAAAAATTTTATGTGAATGTAATGGGTTTATGGTTAATTTTAATGAATTAATATTATTTAATTTCTCAGTTTTAATTTCTAATATGGTATATATGGATACCTATAATTAACATAAACAAAAACTGTTTGGGGTCCCCAATATTTTCTAACAATGTAAAGAAGTCCTGAGGTTAAAGAGTTTGAAAATTGCTGGCCTAAGTGGGCCCTTACTAAGTGGACCAGGATTATCTATACACATGTGGTCACTGCAGTATGACATGTAATAAGGGGGGAAACTTACTGTCCTTTCAATAAGACAAAGGATAAATTGTAACATTCAATACAATGGAATGTTATATAGCTATGATATGTATTACACACACACACATATAATATACACACACATATATATATAATATACACACACACACAACACACACACAGATCTCAAACCCATACTATTGAGAGGAAAGGGAAATTGTCAAAAGATCTGTACAAGAGGATGTCACTTATTTCTATACTAAAACAATAAACACAGAATACGTAAATGTAGTCAAGTGGAATATATACCTTCAGAGGGATACCTACCAAATTCATAATCTTATCTGCCAGTGAGGAAAGGGAGAGGGGGTTACCACACTGGGGAGGTGCTTCAATTCTTATCCATAATGTTAAATTTCTCTTATTAAATAAAAAATAAAGGTAGTGAGGGGAGGGGCATTCTCTTCCCTGCTTCTGGCTAGAAAGGAAGTTTGCTTTAGGGCATCATCTTCTCCAAAGCCCTTAATTCCCTGAGATAGATGTTATCTACCAGGGAAAGACCTTTCCTGGTAGTTGTTGGAATTCACAGAGTAAAAGGTCTATCCAGAAAGTATCCAGCCACATACTATGTAAAGTAGAGACATTTATTAAAGAAGATACAAATACAAGAATCATTGTACATAGGACAATGACACCTCAGTCCCTTTCAAAGAAGGCACCTTGGGACCTCACACAGTTTTCTCAATCGCCATCAGCTGCCCCAGCTTGTTTTCCTGAATCTCACTGACAATTTGAAATCTCTTCTCTCTCAAAGGCGATTTCAGTTTTGGGGAAAGCCAGAAGTTGCAGGGCACCAAATTTGGGATGGAGGGGGGCTGAGTCACCTGGGTGATTTGATGTTTCACCAAAAAGCTCTGCACCAGATGTGATGCATGAGCAGGTAGGTGCATTGTTGTGATGAAACTGCCAGTCACCAGTTGCCCATAGCTACAGCCTTCTGAATCATCCAAATAGTTTCCTCGGAGGTATGTTCAAGCTTAATGCAAACTTTGATGCAGATTTGTTGCTGTACTTGCTCAGTCATTTTGAATGTGATGGCCATGCAGAACACATGCTCACTCAATGGTGTCTACCTCCCCCACTGACTAGTACAGTGAAGTCATCATTGTTCATGCATGAACATTCCAGTGCACTCTCCTGGCTGCCAGGTTACATCAATGTCATGAAAACTGTTCTTGTTATATTAACAATGGCTGGAGTTTTTCCGGACAGACCCCGTATATGGCCCTGGATCTCTGCCAGAAACCTACTTGTATTCGCTCTGTTCCTGAAGATTTTATAGGTCTACCTGAAACCTAAGTCAGTGGTGTGAGGATGAAAGTTATAATCATGTTAACTTTTAAATGCCCCTTTCTACATTTTTATGTTTCAGTTCTATATTTTTAATTACCATTTAGACCACAGGCAGCAAACACAAGGACTGCAGGCTGAATCCAGCTCTCCGCCTTGTTTCATCCGGCCTGGCACCTTGTTTCTACCCCTTGGCAGCACCAAACTCTCGCTTAACTGTTAAGGAGTAGTTACATTTATACGGTCCTAAAATTACATTCAGCCCTTTGAAGGCAACCTTGAGGCTGATGTGGCCCCTGGTGAAAATGAGTCTGACACCCCTGATTTAGACAATCTGAAAAATGCTATCTAGGTAACACACACTAATTCAGATGTCTTTCTCAAAGGGTTCTCCATTTCTATAGGTGTGTTTATGTTTCTCTTTGCTGTACCTGATCTCCAGTCCCTGGGGTTTCTTTGGGATGTGGAGAAAAGAAAAAGCTTGATATGATCAAAAGTTTTTGTGCCTAATTATTTCTTGCCTTTCCAGAGCAAACTTATTAACTTTTGACCAAATAATCATCTGACAGTACATCACATATATAAAAGAAAAAAGCAGAGAAAGAAAAGATCTAGAATCCTGAAAGAAAAATATATAGCAGGGATTTTAAAGGACTAAGCCAACAACGCCACAATATACACAGCCAGAAAGCTGGGCTTCCCATTTTCTGCTGTGCCACTGCACATTACTATATCATTGGCAACCCGTCAGCCACAGGGGCCTACCCAACATTATCCTCAGTCAGATGCATTCCATGTTTGTCAATTTTCATTATGGCCCTTCCTTCACTTTCAACTTTAAAAATCAATGGCAGGGGATCAGTGCTTAGTCCACAGCAGCCTGGAGGTTGACTGAAATGCCTTTAGCGAATAACCACCCTCATTTTGAAATGGCATCTTGATCTCCATGAGATACATCAGCCCTTCACTGGGCACCTACTATGTACCAGGCACTGGCAGCATGCCAGGGATACAAAATGAATGAAGTACTGATGCAGGCTACCACAGGCACAAACCTCAAAAAAATTATACTAGGTGAAAGAAGGCAGACACAAAAGATCACATGTTGTATGATTACATTTATATGAAATGTCCAGGCCAGGCAAAATCTATACCAACGAAAAGTGGACCAGCAGTTGCCTGGAGCAAAGGGTGGTAGTGGAGCGTGACCGCAAATGGGCGTGTGGGGTCTTTGTAGGATGATGGAAATGTTTTAAAATCAGTCTATGGGGGTGGTGGTTGTACAAATCTAAATTTACTAAAAATTGTTGAATTGGATACTTTGCATTGGTGGATTTTATCAATAGTGACTTTTCACAGCTGACAATTCACTCCTGCTTGTCAACCCACATTTCAGGAACTTCTAGAGCAGTCCTGTCAACTATTCCATGAGAAGACAGCCCCACTGTCCAGGCCCCTGCAGTGTGCCCTGGCTGAGCTTCACCTCTCTGCATCTAGACGGTGCCAGTGATGTCCCACTCTGGAGAACTGAGAGAAGGATCTCTGGAGTCATTCTCTCAAGAAACCCCAGTTGAGAAAGGCTGCAGGCTGTACAAAAATCAACACTAAAATTGAATCCCATCAAGTCTAAAGGTCTCATTAAAAATAATTTAGAGGTTTTAACCTCTTGATAAACGTTTATAATGAGTTTGCATAATAAAAGGCCAATGGATGACAATTCCATTTCAGGCAGTTTTAAGCTTTTTAAAATAATAGTTTACTTTTTTCTAAAAAAAAAATGCTTTTGTAAGTGGGGTTAGGGTATTTAAAAATCTTTATTCCTTTAAAAAATATAAAAGAATAATTTCGGAGTGTCACAAATGACTTAAGACGAAGATACCACATAGGTCTCGAGGGCACTTTTAAATAGCTCCCCGTTTTCCAAGCTAGCTTGGAGGCCTCCCAGGCCCACAAGTGCATCCCAAGCTACAGCTTGCCACGTGCTTTCTCCGTACCTGGCTTCCCCCCAGCTCCTGGGCCGCTCTAGACCCTTCATTCATAAAACAGGCTTAATGTTCGGGATCAGCTGCGCTGCGTAATCTAAGCAAAAGACCCGGCCCCTCTCCGAGCCTCTGCTCTCTTTAGGACCCCGTGCCTCTTGCCCCGAACAATAGGGTGTAGGCGAGATCGGGCCGGCTGGGCTGAGGAGTGCGTACTGTCAGCTTGCCGGGTCCCCTCCCAGCAGCCCCGCCGAGGAGGGCGCACCGGACCCAGCCAGCCGTAGGTCCCTACTCGGCTAGCAGAAGTCCGCCCCCCGGCTCATCTTCCTTTGACAGGGAAGGCACAGGCCGACCCCGCCCCAGAGCCTCAAAAATCCCACCACAGCCTCCAGCAGCAAGGCGTCGCCTCCACGTAACAGCACAGTACCCCTTCGCCGTCTCGCCACAGGACGACAACCCTCGAAGGGACACGCTACCTGAGCCTCTTTTTAGGAGACCGAGGCAGCTATCGGGGCACGGTTCACGGTTCACGTCAGGCTGGTAAGGCTCTGCGAGAGCCGGGTCTGCAGTCCGGCCATTCTAGGCCTCCCCTAGCGGCGCGGGGGGCAGGGTCAGGAGCAGGAGCGGGCGTCGGCCCAGACCCCACGGTGGCCCGCAGCCTGGCCTCACCCGAACACGTGCTCGGAGCTCCAGATCTTCATCGCCGCTGGTCGCAGGGCGCGGGCTGCTGGCTCCAGAACCTGGGCTCCACAGCTGCTCCACCCCAGGCGCTGCGCGTGGGCGGGACGGGGCGTGGCGAGGGCGGGGAGCTCTCGGGTGCCTGTCAGGTGACAGTTCTGGCTGCGGCGGCTAAAAATAGGACTGCGGGAAGCTGTTGTCTGGGCTGGCTAGGGATCTGCGCCAACCGGCGGTTCGAGGACAGCAGCTCCCTTAAGTGCAGGGATGGAGGTGGGAGCTATTCTTATAGTTTAGGTTGTCCACATTCATACGAAGCTCTTTGCAGCCAGGCGGTTTTCTAACTGTTGGGAAATACAGTTAAAAAAAAAAAAACCCAAAAAACAAAATCTGCCTGCCTATAAAGCTTTCCACAGGAATGGGGGGGGGGGGGAAGAATATGGTATTGAATAAGCATTAACCCAGAATGTGGTACGCCTCACAGGCCTTCTGTTAAAGAAACTGCAAAGACAGCAAGAAATCTCACCCTTTTACGGATACAGGCTGGTGCAAGTCACCTTCATGTTCTCAAATGAGAAGACTTGTCATTTGTCACACGGGATTCATCCTAAATTCACTTGGCAATTGGAGCGGCCATTTGTGTTTTCTATCTAAAGGAGAAATAAATTCCTCATGTTGATACAGGAGGCAAGTTTGCATCTTGGAGCCAGGTGTTGCCTGAAAGTTAGGCTAATATTTCAAATTGATGACTCCCAGGACCTTGAGAAAAAAAAACACTCCTGGGTTGTAAAACTGGCAAAGGCCCACTTTGCTTTTTAAAACATTTACATACACCTCAAAAAGACATAGAACTTATAAGTTTTCCAGAGTAAAAGCTCTAAGAAAAGGGAAAGGAAGGGCTCTTTCCCTTTGCACCAGTGAAAAACCAACCTTTTATTTCTAGATTTGTGCTTACCCTGCCCTACCAGAAACAAAGTTCAAGTGCAAAGAAGCGAGATACTTGTTTTGAGAAGAGGGTGACCCCCAGCAGGATGAGATGGGGCATGGGAACATGGGGGCCAGGAACTGCATGGAGCTTGTTACCAAATGCAGCACTTAGCCCAGCCCCAGCATCAAGTGGGCATGGGAAGTCTATTTGTGTGATGAGACAGTGAAGCAGAAAGAGCCCCAGCATCAGCCAGAAGACCTGGGTTAGGATCCTGGCTCCACCATCCACTCACACTTAGGGCTTCACATCACAGTCACCTTCCCGAGTCAGTGCTACTATCCTTGTTTTATAAATGAGCCAAGGAGGGTTCCAGGAAGTGTAAAGGTTCCCTCAGTGTTCACATGCTGAAGGATAGAGCTGAGATGAGCCAAGGTTGCAAGATTCCCCCTCACAACATGCTATGGTGACTCACAGTTATAACCTGGCCAGTTGTGGAACACTTCCTATATGCTAGGCACTGAGCTAGGTACTATTTGTGTTTTTTTTTAAGGGTCATCATTTACAATCAGTATTTTCCACAGATACATACTGAGCACAAGGCTGAAGAAATTGGACTGATGGTGAGAGTGAGAAGACATTGTAGGTGAGACAGTTGGTGTAACTGGCTCAAGGTCTGAGAGGGATGAGCTGCTGAGTTTGCTCTTCGTGCCGTGTGGGGACACTAAGACCCCACCAGTTGTGTCTTGGTACAGAGGCACATGGTTTAGTATTGGAACTGGGTGCCTGAGAACTGGGATGAAATGAAGACCACCGTTAGTCCCTAGATAATTATAGCAGTCTCACCACTACCTGCACCCACCTTGTTTTCAAATCAACTTTTTACACAGCTGTCAGTTCTCATCAGCAAAACCCAGCTCAGGTGTCATCACATCTGTTCAGGTCGCCATTTGTAATTGCATCACAGCCTGTATACCCCTTTCTCCAAGACTCACCACAACATAATGTGATCATCTGCTTGCTTCTCTGCCTCTTCCACCAGGAGAAACAACTTTTGCGGTCCAGAACTAGGTTGCCATTATTCTTAGTATTTCCAGAGTCAGAAACATAGCAGATGCCCAGCACATAAATGTATTGAAAGGAAAGCTACATCCCTACTTGAAATCCTATGCCGATCTCTCCATTTTGGTCACAGTCCACCCTCTCACAGCCTCACCTTGCCAGGCTCCCTGCCAGTCCAGGAGCAGCAGCAGCTGCTTTGCCTGGAAGCTTATTAGAAATGGAAGCCCCAGGCCCATCTCAGCCCTGACACAGCATCTCAGGGGACTCTAATGCTAACACAGACCCACTGTCAACACCTCCAGCCTGACTGAGCAAAACTCTTCCCTGTCATCTTTCAAACATTTGCTCATACTGTTTCTGCCAGCCAGAATGTTCTCCCCCATGCTTGTTCTAGAAGCATATTCCAGATAAAAAGATCAGAATATGCAAAATCTCAGAAGTATGAGGAGCTCTTAGGGGCCTGCAACTCACCTGTGAAGCTGGATTGTGGAGTCTCAGAAAGAAGTGGCAGGAGTTGAAGCTAGAGAGTTAGGCAGGAGCCATGTTGAGAAGGGCCTTATATTTCAATATGAAAAGTTCAGATTTTTTTTATCAAAGAAAATGGAGTTTTGATGGTTTCTGGTGTTTGAGATTTCTCAGGCAAAAGTGTTCAAAATACCAGCAAAATCCAGGATGTAGACTTCGCTGTCTGCACAGCCTGAAGTGAAATGGAGTTAAAGATGCTACACAACATCTTTCCCAAGAACCTTATCTTCCCCAAGGCTGTGTTAGGCACTGCCTTGATGCCATCATGTCTCCCTGCATTGTGGCACCTGTTGGCCTGTACCACAAGTGTATAGTGCCTATGTCCTCAGGGAGGCATCTTGGGGAAGGGGAGCCATGAGGTTTTCATCTTTCTGTTCCTGGGAGATGGGATGTACATAGTAAGGGTTTAACATATTTATTCCACTGAGCAAATAGAAGGAACCTGCTCTAACCACCTTTTGGGAAGATAATGGGCAACAGTGCAGAGAGGTAGGACGTCCATATTGAATGCCTAAATGCAGCTGCATATTGAAACCATCTAAGGAGGAAAGTAACCTGGAATCTACTAGGGTTTTTTATTTAATTGGACTACTGGGTACTCGGGTTGTCAAGAGCTTGAATATCTCCCCAGGTGATTCTAATGTGCATCTGAGATTGAAAACCAGGAAGTGGAGAGAGTGAAAGCCCGTGGGGAGAGCAGTCTAGAAACTGCTGCCCTGGCACAGGAGAGAAATGAGCACCTGGACAGCGCAGTGGGGATGAGACTTATGAAAAATTAAGGCCCGTATTTATAATCAATTGGGTTTAAAGGAGAAGGTAAAGAAGAACTTCCCACACTCCTTCCCCCTTGTCCTGTTACCAAAGAACTTCTCCATCATCCCTGTCACTTACTGAGGACCTGGCGGCCTGGCTCATGGGGTGCCTCTCTCTACCTCCACCGCTTACCATTTCAACATCTATGTGGATGATTCACCCAGAAACCTAGGCATCTGATTCCTGCACCTTCCTAACTTCAGTTACCTTCATCCTCATTTCACTTCAGCTACCCACTCCCACCAATCTTGTGTATGTTTTGAATTTCATCTTACACATTTCGTGCTCTGATTTCCCTCTACAGAGACCCTCTACCTCCTTAAGAATGATGATTTTGTTTAGACACCACCTCTCACACATCAGTAAGTGCCTCAGGGAAGGCTCACCCCACTTACTTCAGGGCTGGTGACCCAGCAGTGGCCAGTGAGCAGGAGGAGCCTGCTGTGTGGAGGGAGCCTGCTGTGAGGTTGTAGGGAGAAAACTCTTTGCTTCAAAGAGCAAGCCATCTCTTCCATTGTTTAGCTTCAGGAGCTGGTGTGGCCACCTTGCTACCAGCAGGGAGATGAAATCAGCACCAAGACGAGATGTGTAAAGAAATAATCCTTAAAGATGTTACTGAACCTCTTCTCAGCCACCTGAAATCCTCTTTAGACACAACTTGCAGCTGTGTCATAATAAATGTCCTTATTGTTTCATACCATTTAAATTCACATTTTTAGCCCAAAGTCCCTAACCAATATACCTGCTCTCTGAGCACAGCCTCCAGTCCTTCCTCTGTTTACCACCACCCTCACATGACACCCGCTCTTCAACCTCATCGCCATCTCCAGCCTCTCCCATTCCACCAGCTCCTCCTGAACCTGTCTGCCTCTGACCCCCGCCCCAAGTCCCCCAGATTCTAGACCACAGTCCACAGAGAACTGAGCCTCAGGCCTTCTCCCCTCCATGCTGGATGAAGGCTGCAATCTGTCTAGTCAGAATCCCAACATTCTGTGCCACTGGAGAAAAACCACAGCCTTACAAACTGTCACATAGGGAATGACAGGTTTCCTTCAAGCCTTTAAGGATACTTTACTTGTCCCTGGTTAGCATCCTACCCCAACCTCCTCACTGACACCCAACTTTCCCCATTGTCTTTATGCCCCCCTTGGGACAGAGGCTCTCAGGTCTAACACTGGGTAACCATTTACTAACTGTATGACCCTGAGCAAGTTGCCTAAGTTCTCTAAAGACCCAGTTTCTTTGTCTGTAGAGTGGACCACAAATGTCTATTGCCTAGCATGGTGTCAGATACATAGCAAGTGTCCAGTACACAGTAGCTATTATCTAATATAGACCCTGGCCAAACTGACTTTCTGTCTTCTGGTCTCAGCTGACCACCCTACTCTTCTTTGTCCTGTCTCCCCAGACACCTGCTTCACTGTTCTTCCCTTCTATAGTTTCTGTTTCTTCCACCCATTGGTCATTTCACCCTGCATTCCACCCTTAATTATAAATATGGTCAAGTATTCTCAACTTAAAAAAAATAAAACAAAACTTCTCCCCCTTGACTCTGTGCCTTATAGGGGACCTCATTCAGAGATACAATATATCTCCAGCAGTAAAAAGGCGTCTGGAAAATGCTGGTCTCTGTGTTTAACCCCCTGTGACTTTTTAACTCTCTGTAGCCTCAGGTTTAGCTGACTACCTAGAAAGCTGGAATGCCCTCAACAATAAATGTCAGGCCCCAGGGAGGAGGCTAATGAATGTATAGAGTGTGGATGA